CACACCAGAAATATTGATATTATCGAGAAGGCTAGGCAGAACCATGTTACAATCATCTCCTTACCGCCTCATTCAACGCATAAGTTGCAGCCCTTAGATAAGTCTTTCTTGTCCCCTTTAAAGACTTATTATAGTCAGGAGATTAGGCAATGGCTGTTAATAAACCAACGCCCTCTAACAGCATTTGACGTGATGGAGCTGTTTGGCAAGGCCTACATAAAGTGTCAAACGGCAGAAATAGCCATCAATGGGTTTAGGACAACTGGAATTTTTCCTCTGGACAGAAACAAGTTTTCTGATGCCGAATTCATTGCAGAAGCCAAAAAAGAGCAGCCTATTGATCTAGATGATAACGGCTATGATGATAAATCTGATGATCCTATCGAAACTTCTTCCATCAACACACTTGATAAGGAAAATCCTGAATCTTCTCAACTAGTGACAAACTCTTCTTCATGGGATGTACACGAACAAGCGTCCACCTCAACTCAATTAGTTAAAACTACTGCCCTACCTCTGTCATCCCCCTCATCAAGTTCCTGTGCAAATCCTTCTCCAGTTTACACAAGCCCTTTTCAAATCTTGCCTGTACCCAAACTAATAAAAAAATCATCTGGAAGAGGCCGCAAGCCCTGCAAGTCAGCCATAATCACTTCGTCTCCTTATAAAGCAAAATTAGAGGCAGAAATTGCTAAAAAGATTCAGTCAGGAAAAAAAGATCAGACACATAAAGACGTCAAAGAAAAATGGAAGAAGACTGGAACAAAAAAGAAGATTTTAAAAGCTGAAAATAAACAGAAAGAGTGTAAGAAGCCTAAACCTAGCTCTCAGGTCAAGAGACAATTAGATTTTGACGTACTCAAGGAATCTTCGTCTGAGGACGAAGATAATTCATCTCTGAAATCAGTCTCTTCAACCGGATTGGTTGTAGAACCAGGACAAACACCGGATGAATCGGATGTGACGTGTATGTTCTGCAACGAACAATGGTCCAAGTCAGTGACGGGTGAACAGTGGATCAAGTGTCTAATGTGTCAATGTTGGGCACATGTTGATTGTACCGGTGCCGAAAAAGATGACTACATATGCGACTTCTGCCAGTAGACTAGGTTTCAAATTAAAACAATCATAGGCCTACGCCTTTGTGAAAAAGCTAATTTCTTTTGATATTCTTCTACTTAGGTCACTTAAAAGCCATATTTGTACACAGTTTCTTAATCAATCTATTTTAGAAGTGAAATAAATTTATATATTTATTTAATTGTAAATTGTTCTGCACCCGGAATAATTCATTAAATTTCTTGGGGGTCCGAAATACGAGGAAAAAGAGGGGTCCGAATTTACAGCACTTTTTTTAAAGTGCCTATTTTGTAAAGCTTTGCAAAAATTAGCAAAGTCATATAATATATATTTTTTAGAATATTTTAAAGTAAGAAAAGTTATTTGTAGATAATGTTAGTTTAGTTTTTTTCTTAAATTGCAATTTAAATTACTTTAGTAAAAATGTTATTAAGTAAAAACCAATTGGGGGTCCGAATTTGCCGACTTTCCTCTAACTATTAAGCATTTGTGATACTAGATTATTAGATTTTCAGATGTTCTAGTACTAAAAGGTACTCTTATTTGAAGTCGGTAGGATACATCGATTTCTAGAAAAATCAATTCGAAAATTTTGCGGTTTTTCATCATGAATTTTAAATTATTATTTTTTGCATTAGTTGGCCTTGAAATGTCAACAGAAGTATAACCTACGTTTTTCATTGTCAAATTGTTGTCAGAAAATTTAAATCCTTTTCATTTAACAAATAAACAAGCACTACCACAAGAAGATTTTCCTGCTCGTGAAGAAGGCGCTATATAAAAATGAAATTTTTAATGTACATAATGCACATTATTATTCGTACGTTGGTGACAATTATCACGTTGTTTAAGAATTTAAGCACCGGCATAGGTTTAGAATAAACATCTGGATATGAGTAATTGCTTGCTCGTTTAAATGGTGCTGATTATTTACAATTCCTGCAAAATATTTTACCTGATTTGTTAAATGATGTACCTTTAAATATCTTTAAATACCAAAACTTATGGACATGACCGCTGTCCGGCCAACTTTAGCAGAAATGCACGAGAATTTCTTGATAATAACTACGAAAGCCATTGGATTGGAAGAAGCGGTCCAGTTGCTTGGCCAGCCAGATAACCGGATTTGAATCCTTGCGATTATTGTATTTGAGAATATATAAAAGAAACTAAAGGTCATCACACTGAGCATCCTTTGTTACTATCTACCTTTGCTACTTGTACTTTTGTACTACTCGTAGTTTCGTTGCATCGTAAAAAATACTTTGTTTTTAAAAACCTTTTAATAAAATTTTGTTTCAAATTGATTTTTTGTTTCTTTTTTTCAAAATTTTTTTACGAATAGTGTGCAGCATTTATTGAAGCAAAAGGTAAATTATAAAATTAATTAAGGTACCTATTAATTTAACTTTCATGACAAAAAAAAACGAAACATTTTCAAATCGATTTTTCTAGAAAACGGTGTATTCTACAAACTTAAAGTACAAGTAACTTTTAAAATTAGAATACCAAAAAATTTAATAGTCTAGCATCACAAGCATAAAAGTTGAGACAAAAAAGTTATGCGTTAAAATAAACGTTGACATACTCAAAACGGACGCCTATGAACGGTACTAGAAATTCGTAAATAATGTAATCGATTTAACTATGAAGCATCAATAACTGTACCAAATTTTGTTTTTCTAAATAGAAGGGTTCTGAAGGTATTTAAAAAAAAACTAGTTACAAGTCGACATATTGAAAGCACTCTAGCTGCTCCCTTAGGAAGCATTTTCGAATAAGGTAAATTGGGTTAAATCGTCTTAAACTTATCTGAGGAATCTCCGGTTTTCGTTTGTCAGGATACTTTCTGGATACCCTGTATATATAAATATAATATATATATATATATATATATATATATATATATATATATAATATATATATGAAACCTACAGCTAAGATTAATACTATTACAAAAATTAATATGAAACTCAATAGTCTTTCGGGTTGAACCGCGTCGATATCCATTGGGCCGAGCTTTCGACATCCTCTCTGATGTCTTCCTCAGGGCTTCCGAGGTCTCAGTCTCCCGAGCCCCAGACACCATTACACTTGTCACTGTTCACTTCACTATCACTACTACGGCTAGAAACAGGGAACGGTTCACTTATATTGTCGTTGGTGACGTGGCCTACGTGAGGGTTGGCGCGAGAGTTGGCGCAAACATTTCCGACAGTGGGATTTTGATTCGAGGATGGAGGGGGCGATATTTTCTTTATAAGAGGTCTCCATGTAGAAGGTAACAGTATGGCGTCATCTCTTTTATTAAGATAATTTGGCTTTTTTTCTATTTCCATGGCTTCTCGGATAATTCTTGGTTTATAGAAGCGGATGGGGGCTATGGTTCTGGAGTTTTCAAAATCAATTTTGTGACCTGTATTTGTTTATACTGTTACATTTTTTTTTGTCGATCAATAATTATTTTCAGACCATCTTCGAATATTATTTATGCTTTTTACTGTAGCTAAAGGGATATTTAACGTTAAAATATGGAGTTGATGGTTTGTAACCAACATGTGGAGATCGTTTTTTTCACCAAAAATATTGCTGATGTTGTCACTGATATCTTAAGTCAGCAGTAAAATATTAGTAGCAATGCATTAGGGCTTGCCCTATATTGAAGATTTTTTTGGTGAAAATAAAAAAAGTTGAAATATCTATTAAAAATATTAGTAATTTATTGGGCTAATACAAATTTTGTCAATAAAATTTAAAAACCCGATCAATACACTAACAACAAAAGTTCTTTAGATACCTGCTTGATCGGTAGACCATCTGAATCTTACTTAATAATTCTGAATCAAAAGTTCATTACAATTTCGTTGACTTTCATGACTTCATCACAGTCTGCATTATTTAAGCAATCACATTCAGGAAGTGGATTTTCAGGCATCATTTCATTATTATTTTATACTTGGTGTACAGTTGGGTTTATACACCACACTTTTTCCCCTGGTTACTGACTTTTGTTTCTTGGTCAGAATTAACTTTTTGACTTATGAAATTTTGAAATGAAGATTTGTTGCGTCTTTAACACAGTTTTTAGCTACTGACTTCCAATCTTGGTTGGTCTACACTTCATTCTATGCCACCAAAACCTCTATCACTAGGCATATATGAGTGACCGGTAACAAGAAACATAAGCTCCACTGTTGTGATTGAAGTTTTAGTCTAGTACAGCCAAGATTTAGATCTGCACTTAAGTTGTTTAAATACTGCAGAGGCTATTTTACCCGAAGACTTTTTCATTTCATTTTCGGCCCATGAGTAAATTAATACATTTTCTTTGCGTAAAGCTTCGGTTCCAGTAGAACATCCAGAAAATATCGTCAGATTAAAGCAGTATAACTGTCTTGAATAGTACACACTCCGATCTGGGAGCTTTGGCAGAGGCATATTTTTTGCATATCATACAACATTATAGCAACATTAAGTTCATCTTTTTTCAAAAGGTTAAAAAACCCTTTAGCACGAGTAGTGTGAACAGTGTACTCTGCTTTAAGCGTTTGCAATGTTGCCTCATTTTTTTAACTTTATTTTTTTCTTTGTACTAAAGACAGGAACAGACATCTATCGAAGGCGTTTTAAAGCTAATGTTGAACCTTGTTACGAATGTGTGCCGAAAAAACGACTCTTTAACTTTAAATTTATGAACAACTAAGTCTTCGCATATCTTTCACATTTTAGAAATAGACAGGGTGGAATCAAGATAAATACAAGCACTCCTCGCCCTACTATAATGTGATTCTTTGCCTTTAAACTGCCTTACAAAATGTATAACAGAATTAATTTTTTCTGCTATGTGTTATCCTTCCTATAACCACTTCGAGTTTCAACAGGGATGAGACATCAGTCTTTTTTAAATCTTGTGAAAACACCTTTAACTCTGTGTTTTGTGATTTCCAATACATTAATAAAGGTGTTCCTACATATCTCTAATCTATTTTCTGCTGTTGTTTCAATACAATATTGGTAAGTTACGCCTTTAGTATGTCTTGATCCGTCTCCTGATCTGGTTCCATTTGGTTGTTTTGCTGCGCAATTCGTAGGAATGAAAGCATCTTGACTGGCTTTTGTCTTTTCAGAATAAAATGCACTATGAAACCTATTTATCTCTTGCATCTTCAATAAACTGCAATTTTTCTTCCCTCTGTGGCCACATGACCACTTTTGACCTGTACCTAAAACAAACATTGGATTCAAAACCAAAATACAAACTGGTTTATGTCAGGGAAACTTATTTTATTCTAACGCACGTTAAAGAAAAATAAAAATAATGTGTAATGTGAATAGGTTAGGCCTACTAGAAATTGGTCTATTTTGACTTTAGTAACTAGGCCTAGGCCTAAATAATGTAACTTTAAATTAATGTTATTTAAGTTTGTCTATTAGATTATTTAATGTTAGGTTACGGTTTAATACTAACCCCAAAATCTTCTATTTGGGTCTTTTCCAATTTGAAGGATTTGGTAGTGCTTTGTTTCTTTTCAACAAAGGAGATTCTTTAACATTAGTTCCTTTCATGTTATTTCTGCCGGTTTATTATAGTAATATCTTTTTTCAGTATATTAGTAAAACTTTAAAATACTAACCAATAAAACAACGCCAGTCACAACATACCAGAATAGCTCAGTTCACTGCTATCTTCTCTTTCAACTGAGGCGGTGAGATCACGTGCCAGAATGAAGCCATCTGATTGGTGCTTTATGGAGATGGCTGTTTTTGTCACCAACATATTTGAGATCAGGACGATTTTGTAACCAAGGATACTATTCAAATGCAGTTTTAATAATGTTCTGGCCATTTTTGACCCCAAAACTATTTAGATTTGGATTCCGCATGTTATTTTACACAAGAGTCCATCAATATCTGAATTTAAAAAAATGGAGTCGGCCATCTTTGAAACCAGGCTACAGATTTCATTTTTCATGTTTATTGTAAATTGTACGGTGATTAGGATCATACATATGCTGCTTTGATGTGCAAGAAAATTGCAATAATTTGGTGTTTGTTTTTTAAAGCTTTTTAAATATAACAATTCAGGTCGTTATTCTCCTGATCCTCTAGAAATATTCTGGCTGGCTTAAGCTTTATCATCATGTCAAGGCAGCGTAGCATTGTTAAAAATTTTAAAATTAGCTGATAGATATTATTTCGAGTAACTTTTTGGGACAATATCGCGTGGTAGAAAATATCCGTTAAGAAAAGGAACTACCCCTTGTATCCAAACTATTACTAACATACACAGATACATTTTAAAGCTAGAGATTACAAAAGTCCAATAAAATCAATAAGAATATAAGCATCTTTCTTATATTCTTATTAACGATCGTAAAATACTTTGTAATTACATTTTTGTTTACGATGATTCTCACCACACCTCTAATAGAAATTTATGTATTTTTATAGTTTTCAACCAAATAAAAATTTTAAGTTTAAATTTGATAGATAGCTGCGCTTATAAATTTTCAGGAATCGTGAAGAAAGTACTATGATATCGTCTTTCCCTGACAGGTATTTATTGCACATAATTTCTATACAAGAGAGATTTATTTGATGTGAAATTATAATTCAAACTGTCATTATATAATTTGCTATTTATATTTGATTAAAAAATTAAGATAATTATAAGTTACTTAAAATAAAATGTTTTTAGTGTATTTATTCGAATGAATTTATAAAAATATATTTAATGGAATAATGTAATAAATATTTACCTACTGGAAAATTAACTAAATTAATTTTAATAAAGTAGATATACTAGAAGAAACTCTGAAAGTGAATATAAAAGTGAACCCTCCCCCAAAATATTGAAGTTAGAAGTTGTAAGGGCAATCAAACAAAACAAATGGGGAAAAACACCAGACCCAGACGACATATACATAGAGGTTTTACCAATGTTGAGTGAAGACAATATAGACGCCTTGGTAGATCGTTTTAATGACATTTATTTGTCCGGTCAAATACCACAAGATTGGCTTCAATCAAACCTTTATACCAATCCCAAAAAAGCCAAACGCTAATAGTTGCGACCAATTCCGAATGATCAGCTTATTGAGCCAGGTCTTAAAACTGTTCTTAAAGATAATTCACACAAGAATATACAACAGATGTGAAAGAGACATTAGCCCCACACAGTTCGGTTTCAGACAAGGATTTAGTACAAGAGAAGCACTTTGTAGCTTAACTGTCCTACTTCGTAAATGCAAAGATCAGCAAAAAGGGGTATTCCTATGCTTTATAGATTACCAGAAACCGTTGGATTGTGTTAATCATTAAGAATTAGTAAGATTGCTCCAGGAACGTTCGATAGATGAGAATGACTAGACTTCGGCAAATATGCAAATAAAAATGTAGAAAATATGCGCATAAATATGCACGTGTTTACCCGAAAATAGGCAAATATTTTACAAAATATGCATACAAATAAATAAAAAAATCGTAAAATAGTAACAATTTTATTTAAAAAAAAGTGTACATACCTAAATATTTCCTACTATTCATTAAGATTTACATTTATTTTAAGTAACTACATCATTTTTAAGTATGAATAAACTTATTTAGAATTATGGTAACAATAAATGACCAAGTGGTGTTCAAAATTTTCTAACAAAAACTTGTGGCTTCTGTCTGAGTACATATATTTATATATGGAAAAACTTCGTTCAACATCAACTGATGTAACGGGAGCATTTTTCAAACTAACCAAAACATTTGGTTCTAAATTAATTGTTTCCGAAATATTTCCAGCTAGAACACTGACTACTTCAGAAAGAATATGGTAACCTTTATTTTTTTCCATAGTAGCTTCAATTTTTTTTTAAAATATCTTTTCCAATATTACCTCTAACGTTCCGACAACATGACGCAAATTCTTTTATTAATGCTGTACTTTCGAACAATGACAGTTTTGGTGATTCTAACTGAGTAATTGTTTTTTGAACAAAACTAAAATTTGATTTTATAAATGAAAAGTTCTTGTTGAAGCAAGTTACTCTGAAAAGTTTGTTTAGAATCCAAAAGAGATTGGGAACTTTCATCTGTTAACGTATCAATTATGTTCTTTATTTTAACAAAATGATCTGCATAACAATTAGCTGCTTCTAACCATGTTCCCTATCGCGTTAAAATAGGTTGTGGTGGAAGAGGAATGTTAGGTAGCATTTCTTTATAAAGTTGAATTCTTATAGGAGATTTAAGAAATACTTTTTTGACACTGGATATCATGGTATTTACAAGAGGAAACTTTTTTCGTATTTCCTCTGCAACTCTGTTTAATCCATGCGCTACACAAGTAACATGTATTAAATCTGGGAAAAATATTTTTAAATTTTGTCCTGCTTTCACCATAATAAGGATCAGCATCCGATAAAATAAGCAGTAATTTATTAGAAGGAATAGTTGTCGGAAGAAAAAAAGTTGCTAATGATTCTTGTATAAAACGCGAAATTGTTAAAGCATTTGTTTTCTCAAGTTGCTGGCATAAAATAAGATGAGATTTTGGTAAGGTATCTTCTTTCAGAACACTAATCAATAAATGAGCAATATACTTTCCTGAGGAATCAGTGGTTTCGTCTACAGATATGTAAAAATAATTATCTGCAATTTCTTCCTTAATATTAATTAACACCGACGAGTATAGCCCGTCAACATTATTTCTTCTTAGAGACCGATCACTTGAAACATTACGTTTGCAATATTTTTTTAGAAACGAACTAAAATTTACATTTGTTAATTTTGAAAGCGGTATGTTTGCAGACAATAATGCGCGACACAAGTCTTCATTAAAAGTTTCTTGTTCATCTAATTTTTTTGAAGTAGATTGGAAACATTTAGCCATTGAAGTTTGATGTTTTCCTCCTATTTTTCCTTTTTTTGCAATGTGTGAAGCAGTTCTCACATGTTGGTCTATCTGAAATTTCTTCTCACATGCTATCTATAAGTAAAAATAAAAACCTTTATTTTAACCCAACCTTTAAAATATAAAAATATACAAGGTGTTTTTGGTTAATCAAATAACTGGTTTGGAAAAAAAAAACACTCGCTAAGTGTTTTAAATGCAGTATTAATCCACAAATTAGTTTTTGTTACTAACCATTAGTACATCATATAACTTATTTTAAAATTCAACAAAAGTTTTTTTTTTGTTAATTCAATTAAAATAAAAGTAATTGTGTTTTAGAATAGCGGACTTCATAAAAAAAGTAAAGGTGAAAAATTTTTCTAAATACATACCATTGTATTGTACCATGGACAATTTTTTCTCACTAAAGGAAGCTATTTTTCATTTAAAAACAACCTACGAGTACTAAATTTCAAGTAAATACGTTTGTTGGTTTTAAAGTTATTGTTGTTATTAACTAAAAGAATTTAATTTTTTTTAATTTTAACACCCTGTATCTCGAAAAGTAAATAAGTTTGACCCCTCATTAACTATATCGTTTTGTTCAATTTTTCGAGAAGTATCTACAGTCAAACGTCGTAAGTGTCATTTGGAAACACCCTGTATGTATGAAATATTAGATATTTAATAGAAAATATTAGATACTTACAATTTTGCCACAGACTGAACAGTAGATTTTCCCATATCCATAGACAGCTCTTTATAAGGTTTAATCCAAGTTGAAGCACTGGTTGTTTTAGGCATTATAAAATCACAATCTTCCTTTTTGTTACGCACAACGGGTGTTTACGCTTTGAATATCAAAACAAAAATGATTTACAAATCTGAGCATCAAATTAGAAATGTTTAGGTACCTAATTCAATAAACTGGGAGATTTTGGAAAATCCCTAAATTAGGAACAAAACTATTAGCCGTTTACCTGCTGTTAAGATACAATAAATTGTAGATAGATTTGGGGATTAGATCATAAAATGCAAATGAGCGAACCCTTAGCGATTATCCAATAACTGAATGCCTCAGTGACCGAGACTTTCTAAGAATGTTGAGGGCTACTTAAATTGATCTTCTTTAAAATTGTAAATGTTTTGTACCTGTAGAGATTACGTACTTAGATCATTTCTTGATTAAAATGACTACAAAATTTTATACAAGAATTGAAATAAATTGGTATGTTTAAAAATTTTCAAATACAGTATAAAAATCTGAACTTTTATGCACTTTATGCAAACTTTTATACAAATATGCCAAATTATGAAATATTTGCATAAAATATGCACAATATGCAAAATATGCAATATGCATATTTGCCGAAGTCTAAGAATGACCTTAAAATTATAAACAACCTTTATATGAATCAAGTGACATCTGTGAGAGTAGGACTGAAATCTACATCATATTTCTCAATCGAAAAAGGTGTACGACAAGGTTGTGTTCTGTCACCCATCCTTTTTTATCTTTACTCTGAAACGATTTTCGATAGAGCCTTAAGTGACACTGAAGATGGAATCAAAATCAACGAACAGACTAGTAATCTTCGCTATGCTGATGATACAGTCATAATTGCTGATAGCCAAGAAGCGCTACAACGACTAATGGATAGAATAAATACTGAAGGAGAACGAGTGGATTTGAAGATTAATGTAGACAAGACGAAGGTAATGGTGGTTAATAGAACACGAAATATGCAATTAAATATAAGAGTAAATAATAAGAACATCCAAAAGGTCCCTAAGTTCAAATATCTCGGTAGTTGGATAACTGAAGATCTAGATCCAGATGTAGAAAAACGTAGCAGGATTGAGCAAGCCAGAACAGCATATGATTACCTTGC